AGGTCAATCATGTGTTTCCTCATATTACGTCATATCTCTGATTTACAAATAATCAGCAGAGCCGATTATGGAACATCAAGTCAAGTTAAAGGGTTAAATAAATAACCACTACTTTTCTAAAGTAGTGTAACTGCTGTAATTAATCACATCATGAATTAAAATGACTTCAATACGTTTTATTCTAATGCATTTTGTATTTAGTGACATGATAATCCATATTATTTATGATTTTGGTTGTCGGGTTTTATTTTTGGACATTTAAAATATGCTCCAGTATTTAAGAGTCTTTTTCAAAATGAACGTTTATTGATCACAGAGAGGGCAAACTTGTATTATTACGCCATTATCAATATACAACACTAATAGAAAATTGCCTCAAAACATATTATTGTTTATCAAGATGATTACTGGAACAATTTATCGTCCAGCAAAATGTGTTATTGTGACACTTGGTACTTGTTTTCTTTGTGTTATGAAAACATTCTGAAATAAATGAATGAATAAATAAACAAATAATAACAAATACATTTAGGGATGCGCCTCATCATCCAGAGAGAGATGTTCCATAATGATGTCTCCCTTAATTAGTCCTGAATTCTTGTCTGTTTCATTCTTTTAACTCGTTTCAAATAAGAACACAAACAGCTGAACATGAAACGCACAAGCCAAGCCTTTATCTGATGCACAATGTGCGACAGCTCCTGTTGAGATAAAAACATTTACTGATAATGCTATGTTTACAGGCTGAACATGTACAGCTTTCATCCACTTCTCAGTAGGTCCAGCATTGTTTACAGCAGCAGCATTAAAACATCCAGCTCGGTTTAGGAATTAAACAGAAACGCTTATAAAGCGTGAATGTTGGAGAAGTGGTCAGTATGTCGGCCTAAACCCAGAGATAATTCAGCTTAATTTACAACCATTAAAAACATTCAGCTCAGAGATGAAAAAGAAAACAGAAATGATTCTGACACTCATCTCTATATGAGTTACCATCTAGCAGAATGCAGCTTCATTCACACATTTGAGTGGAAATCTTGTTTTCATTTCCTCACATGTGAAGAATTTCTTTATTTTTGCTAACTGTAAATTTCAGACAAAATTTAAGACAATCAAGTTTCAGTTTCAGCCGCCACCTTTTTTAAATTTAACATCTAGTATTTTGTCATCCCAGGGCTTTTAAAAGAGGAATCAGCCCTCAGCACCACAGATCCTCCACCATGTGAACAAGGGGCACAAAGTGATTTTACAAACTTTTCCACCTGGAGCGTTTGCTGCTGGGAAACTCATTCTAGCCTGTTTGGATCGAAAACAATGACATCAGACTAATTAAATACATAAATGTTACAACACATTAAATCTGGTCACTATGCACTTATAAAAGCGGAAAAAAAATGTTAGGTGGAATGGATCATGACTTTAAAAGAGGAAACCCTGAACATGAAGTCATACATTAGAGGTTACACTTCAGGGGAATGTTTAAAAGTTTATGGCATGTTCAGCCCATATTATGAGGATATATTTAAAATGCTTTCTATGTATTTCTGTACTTTGCTGCGACACCGCTTATTGCATTCTGTCAGAAATAATCAGTTTATTCCTGAAAATCTGAGATTTATTTTAAGCATCCTCTGAATTGCGTTTTTGGTTTTTGAAATTAGTTTTATGTTGGTTGAGATGAAGGCAGAAGTACGACAAACTTTTATGCTGACATTGAGCTTTTTTTCTACATAAATGAAAAGAACATATCACAAAAGCCCAACTTATGACCTTTAATTGAATCTATCAAATATTCAGTAAAGCCAGCTAACATGTTCACTCTGTTAAGTGTGAATCTTTGTTGATGCAACATGCTCTTGCATGACAACTTTGAATGAGGAGCAATATTCATGAGATGAACATGATTTGCTCTCTCAGGCATTGTTTTCTAAGAGTTCTCGTTGCAATGGTGACGAAGTACGAACTGTAAGCTTTGCTGATGCAGGAAGTCAGACAGGTAGAACATTCTCTGCAGACAGAGACAGGCAGGTGAGAAGACAGGAAGACAGGCGGCAATCACACGGCACAAACACAGCAGAGGTCAATGCTATCACGGAAACGAGCCGTTATTTCGTAGCATTTCATCATCATCATCATCTATCTCAGTCGTTTGTGCTCTTTCCCTCTTTCATGGCAGGATTTCTCATTGATGACAAAGCCATTTATGTCTTTCGTTTGTTCCCCCCGCTGCCGCCACCCTTCCCTCGTGGTTTCTTCCTTATCCTCCTTGCTATTTATGTTTCCTCTGTTTGCTTTCACACACTTTCTCTCGTCTCATTCTCAATTTGCATCGGTTTTTTTTCCAGTCTTTTTGTCTTCCGATGCCGCGTACCCAGCTTACATCTTTGCTATTTTCTGCCGCTCTCACCTCGTCTGCATCGCTCGTCCTCCTCTTCCTCTCTTACATCATTTTTCTGCTCTAAACACATCTGCCTCTCTGTTTCTACTCTTCATCACTATTATGTCATTCACTTTTGATTGAAATTCTGTGCACCCTTTAACTTACTTTCCTTTTAACAGTTATCATTCTCACTAGATGCCAGACTTGTTTCTTTCCTTACTTCCTCCGGCTGGTATCTTCCCTCCTTCTTCATTTCCACTCCCTCCATACGTTTTTACCTCCTTCCTTCAAATCTCATCCTAATTTCCATTTCCCATATTCTTAATCCTTCCTTCCTGCTACTGCTTTTCATCCTGTGGTTTTACATCATCCTTCCTACCTTAGCTGAGTTCTATTTCCTTCTCATCTGCCAGGCCCCACTTTTGCAATATTTGAAACCTCATGTTTCCATGTGTAATTTTCTTCTTCTTTTGCTCCTTTATTTCAGCGATTTCTTTGCTCTTTCTTCTTTTTTTGCTCATGTTTTCGTCATTATTAGAAGGATCTAGTATTGGTGTAACATAAACTCAAGATTGCATTTTCTAATTTATTTTTTATGTACTTATTTATGACGACCAACGATGATGTAATCACCTGTTTTTGACATGTGACATGTACCAAAGAGATATATATTTTTTTAATTTTCTCCTTTTGAGCCAAATATTCCAAACATTTTTTGTGTATCTGTATCCCAGTTATGATTTACACCACCTATTAGGGAAGCTTTCATCTAATTATTTTAGATTTGAAACCTATGCAGTTGTCCAAATTAAAAAAATGTGCCATACTAATTGTTTCCAGTTCATTATGCTTTTATTTTTGGTGTTTTGGCTTCCATATCTTTTACAACATTGATAATGACATTCCACCAATTTTCATTCCATTTCCCACCAAGCTGTTGAACTGTAATACAGACTTTACCAAAAATCATAAAAATTAAAATAAAACAACTTTTCCTATTGTCTGTACTTGTAGCATTTTTCTTGAGCTCCATCACAACCAAACATGACTTTTAATGCTCTGAATGTTTGCACAAAGCACACGACTGGTAGGTGTTTCTGTTTTTTATTTTCTTAAGCTGAGCAGTAAAAAGTCTCCTTAAAAGGTCATGGTAACCCAGCAGACTGGCGTTGATGTTAATGAAGCAAATTGACAGCAGGCTGTAACAGCCTGCACTTTAAACAATCTGGCAGCCGCACAAAAACATCTGTCGCTAAAATGAAACATGTATTAGTGCACTATTCAGGAGAATCCCACATCTGTTTTATCCTCAACCATTTTTTTTTTTTTTTGCTTTGAAGCTGCTGTCACGCTCTTTCTTCATGTACGGCAGAGTATCTGAAAACGTGAATCTAAACTTGAAGAGCATTTAGAAAAACATGATATGTGACATCTATGAAGTATCTGTGTTACCTACTGTATGACGCCCTAGATCACCGTGTTTTACACCATCAGGACAGGAAAAATGGAGAGACGACAGTTCAGAGATAATTAGCTAGGAGTAGCAATCAGCGTCGCAAAGTAAGTTTATCTTCGTGAGTGCAGACAGAGTGTCTGCATAGCAGGTAGTGTCATCACTGAATCATTACATTGACATTTGAGAAGCACTTCAGTGGATTCAGTAGCAGTGACATATTTATGGCGTTTCAGGGTGGTGACATTTACAAAATAAATGTGTGACACCCCGCTTGGGTGAGACTGTGTATGCTACAGTTCAACAAAGGTCAAAACTTAAACTTTCAAAGTAAATGCAAAATAAAACCTGCAGCAGGTGTGAGATCCAGAGAGAGCTAGGTTAGCTTGTAAGTAATTCTCTAAATGTCTTCATTGAGTAGCTTATGGAAAACACCAGTTGAGTTAATTTAATTGTGGCTGCTGGACATGGGGATTGTGCAATAAAAATGCAGCTATAGAAAATCGATAGAAAATTTTGGCCAACATGTCAGAAATATTAATTTTCTGTTTAACTTTTCAGTAATAAAACAAGATGATTCATGTTTGTTTATTTCTGCTTGAACAAGGTTAAAAAAAATAACAGTAAAAAAAAATCTGAACCAATTCTGTGACAGGGCCATGTCTCTCCAGTCTCTAACGCTTTAAATTCAGGTCTTGTTTAGGCATCTCTGCTTAATAAATTTCCGATCGACCTCTCAGGTCTTGTAAACAGAATCTGTTAGTTGTTCTTTGCTGAAATGGGGGGACTGAGAGTTTGCTGACTTCAGTTGAAGGCTGCAGAATGCTCTGTCCTCTGGGAGTCAGGTCAGCAAACCCTCTCGGGTGTTTAAAAGAGCTACAAGGCTCACTGTTCTGCTTCACATCGTGTTTCTTTTTAAAAGGTTGTTCAGTCTCTTAACTGTTTTGGTTGCTTTTGAACTATTCTCAGCCCATGTAATGAAGTATCCTGCTTTACACAAGTAAAAAAAACCAACAACAACTGATTCATTTGACATTTTGGGAAAAAACGCTGAACATCTACAGACCATCCAACAAAAGAAATGCTCACGTAACAGCTCTTAAATCTTCCTTAGCAATTCATAAGGCACATTTCTAATTATTGATATCTTGTTCTCCTGGTCCTCAGCCCTGAGAGATAACCGCATCCAGCTGCACCGCTCGACTCCCACGGAGCTTTCCATCAACATCTCTGACGTGCAGCTGTCTGACGAGGGCGAGTACACCTGCTCCATCTTCACCATGCCGGTCCGCACGGCCCGGGCCACCGTCACCGTTCTAGGTGGGTCACGCAAACGCCACAACAGCACGGCTTTCGCCGCGCCGCACACTGACAGACGAACTGTCATCTCGATTTAGACGTTGCAACTTTTTAATGCGGGCTTAAAATAAACCCCGCAGCTGTGTGTCAGGCATATTTTAACATCAACTCAAGCAGAAAGAAAAATGAAAGGTATGTGTGTCTATGTGTCTCATAAAAATGCTTTCAGAATTAAGTAGGATTTTTGGTCAAAGAGCTTTTTCTTCTTTCTGCCTTTTGCCAGAACTCGTAGCTGTCAGTCTGCTGTCCGTCTTCGTAATTCCTCTCTGGGAAGTTTATATTAAGGTGTCTTCCTTTCTCCTATTTGCCTTGACTAGATCCCAAGATGAGGTATTCTGAAAATGCTGCTTTGTTCCCTTTGCAGTGTGACAGTCCTGCTTGCCTTGTCAGTCATCAATCTCCTTTGAGACTGACTAACATTTGTACAAACCAGCTTGATGGTAGTCTGCGTTAATTTCTCCTGTACGCCTGTTGGAATTTTGACAAATTTAAATGTACGACTTGTGGCTTTTGGCACTTTTTATTTTTCATTTTCTTCATGGGGTTCCTGTTGTTCCTGACGATTTCATGAAGAAGTAATTACTTTTGTCGGACTGCAGGGTGAAACTAAAGGCTGATCAGGTTGCAGAAGTTTAACATGACCTGTCTAACTGCCTCGAAATGCCCTTGATGCGCCGCTGGGATATTTATCCCACTGAGCTTCAGATCCATGTTCAGTTTGACCCTGCTGACAGCCTTTGTTTTTGCAACTTGTAAAAAAACAGCACACCGCCATTAGGCAAAGTGTTGATATTTTAGCCATTTAGTGGTGAGTTTCTATAAAAATAGAAGACAAACTCTTGACATCACAGCAGTTAGGCAGGAAATATCTTAAAGTCTAAGTCTGTGCTGAGGCACACATGATGCAACCTGATTTTCATTAGACTCGGGTAATTGGAGTTTTTATAAAACTGCTTTCAGTGACGTATTAGATGAACCAAAAACTTGTCTTAGGAAGCACAACTTTTGCTGGCGGACCTGCAGAGCTCCATCTCCGTCCAGTTTGATGCTGATCCTTGTTTATGTTGTTAACCTCTGAGCAAGGCTGCGACCTCACATAACTCTGGTGAAGATAAAGCAGCTCCACTCATCCTCAGTGAGATGAATGTTATTACCCATTTGTGATGCGTCCCTGTAGCAGGCAGTAAATTGTGGTCACCATGGCAGTAGAGAATGTGCCTGCTCATTGGACGTTGCACTAATTGCCCCCACCCCTTTACAAACAGTCTTTATCGTATTGATTTTGATTTGTAAAGTTGTTGTTGTTGTTACTCAGCTCTGGGTTTCAGTGGCTGCATTTTATTGTTTTGCTGAGAACAAAGCAAAGGCTGCAATGTAACAGTTAATGGCTTTAAAGTACAACCACAACGGAGACGTGGAGTTGGAAAGCAAAGCAGAATTGCTCTGGTATTCCAGAGAAGCTGTGGTGGGCTTGTTTACAATCAACAACACTTACTAATATCTCAAACCACTCTTGGCTAATTTCACTGTTCACTCATTTGTTTTTTGCCCACATGTTTCTAAGTATCAGTTTATCTGTTTGGGAATTGATAAACAACAAAGCCTAACATATAATTCAATTCAAGAGTACAAATATTTTAGAGGTTTTGTAGAGTATAATCGGAACAAAATGTCTGTTGAACACAGATGACTTTTTATGAACAGAAAGATGGGTACCATGCAAGCAAAAATTGCAAAAGTACAAAATGATGGAGTAACAAAATGACTAGAAGTTGTTTCTGCATGTTAGAAAACTGACAGTAGCCACAGGAGTCCTGTTCAATCAGAAATCATAAACATGATTCAGTATTTTTTGTCTGAAATCCAAGACTGAAAACCTTCCTTTCAGACTGCCACAGTGGGGAACAAAAACTACTCAACACATTTATGTTTTTATATCTCTAATGCTCCGATTGACATCAAATTTATAAGCAAATCTCAGTAATAACCCAATTCAACCACAAATACAAATAGATCAACACAGATTATTCCATAAATTAAGTTGCATAATGAAGATGAATGAGTGATAAAATGAGTAAATGAATGTAAATTCAGAAAATCTGAAACCTGTCAGTAGTTAGAAAGCACTCCTTCCTGTAAGGGTAAATTATTATTAGCCAGTTTAATCCTGATGGCCATGAAAAAGATTCTCACTACCAAGGTTTTCCATAATGAACATGACATAAAGTGTAAAAGCAAAGAGTTCCTAAAAAGTTTGCAGCCTTATGATTAAACTTATTCTTTGTCATCCTCAAGCATTTTTTTTCTTAATTCACTGTTGTAATTATTTCTGGGTTTCTTTGTGCAGATTTCTTCATATGTGTGGATTTCCTGGGTTTTTACTAACAGCCTGTGCAAATTTCATGTCAATAATCACATACTTTTAAATTTAATGGAGGATTCTTTGTGTTCGCTAAACTTTGCATCAACTTCTGTTTAAACAAGAATGTTTAAAACTCCAAGTTTATTTGTGAAAAATAAAAGTTTCATCTGTGTTTTCTGCTCTGAAACTAGCCAAGAAGTTCTTGGATGACAACCAGAGCTGCCAAGGATTTCTGCCTCATTTTTTTTTTTTTTTTTTGGAAACTGCTCTAAGTAGAAAACGAGATGCTAGAATTAAAACGCTAAGGGTGGAGCGGGATGGCTTACGTTTGCATGGTTGAAAAAAGCCAAAGGGCTCGTTCTCAAATTTAGCGTTTTTCGTTCGGCATCGGCGGAAGCATCCTCGAACATTCATTCATTCAGATTGCTTGGTGGTTATGCAGGGTTTAATGAGGGAATTAAACGTAGTTGCCCTGGACAGCATTGGGAGCAGCAGCCAAAAGAAATGTTAAGTTGCTATTTTGTAAGAAGGATGAAGAGTGAAGCCTGGTTTGCTTCAGCTCTTTTAAATTAGCATGAGAAACACTCCTTTCTGTTTCATTTCATATTCCTGTAATTGTGACTCAAGCATTTTTTTTTCTTAATTCACTGTAGTTGACAGCTGTGACACTGTATTCTGCATTTCCTAAATATTTCATGACCCCCGAGAGAGAGCCGCCCCATTAAAAATGTATACTAAAATGTTGAAAACACACGAATCTCCATGGGAAAATTGAGCAGAGATGTGGAAGGTTTTGGCAGAGCTTTGTTTGTTTGTGTGCATTTTAACCTTGTTTTGACGTGAATGATTTGACTCCTGCACACACAATTACACATCCGGACACAACTGCTGAGTACGGCCAGTTTAAAGGGCTGTGTCGGTGCGTTCAAAATCTGTGTCATGCCGGTGCTCTGTCCTGAGAATAATTTATAGGGGCTTTATTCTCTTTCTCCGAATATAAGGGAAGGGTCTCAACATGACTTTTCTGGCCAGTTCTATGCGTGCAGTATTATTCCCTCATTAATATTCAATGCTACTTTTCTGCAAGGGAGCTTCCGCACACAGTGCACTACATCAAATGGTGGTACATTAAAAATTGACCACGTTTGTATTTTTTTGATGTACACCTCAGTTATTTCGTTGCACTTTTTAGTGCTGCTTGTGGGCATCTCTGCAGTGCTGAGGAGCTAATATCACAGAAGCATCCTGATGAACAACAGTGCTGCCAATGGAGACATTAAATTCAATTATGGCACCCATAACAAGTGAATTATATTTAGCCAAGTCATGCAGCATCACCGACCACTTGATCGCATCATGCAGTGCTCTGCAAACATTGCATATCGCCTTTTCTTACTTTATTTACATTCTCAAATGTATATTTATTACAGTTTGGTTTAAAAGTGTGAGCTAAAACAGGTTGGATGTAATGTAACAGATACACTTCTGCACATGATGCCTCTGGATGCTGACTGCCACAGGGTGGAGTCTGCTGAAAAAACACATCAGTCCAGTAGAAATTAAGCAGATCTGCATGTTGGTCTTTAACGGGTGTTCAGGCTTGGTCAGAGCTGAAAACCTCCAACGTAAAAGATTTGAACTTAAGTTATTACATAAGTAACACGTTTGTTTTTAAGTAAGTTAACTTACACCAGTAATTTGTTATGGATGGTGCAGCCCTTGAATTTAAATCATAAGGATAGAAAAAATTTTTAATATAACAGAGAACCTGAAAAAGTTCTTCTTGCTGCATTACACTCACTGTCTGTGCTTTTCTTCAACCTCGCAGTGACAGCAGGTTGTACTGTGTGTGCATTTCTTTTGGAAAAAAAGAAACAATGCAGCACAAAACCGTCTGAGAAATCATGCAGAGGAATCCATCAGCCTTCAGCTGATCTGCTCTATACAAAATGTTTTCACTTTTGGTTTATTCAGAATCTCTGTCGATCCTAAAATGTAATTTTCTGTCTGACAAACTGTCATTTTCAGCATTTTTCTCTGAGGCTAGCAAAGAAAATACTAACACATAATTTTTTGCAACAAGCTGAGTGACCAAAGATCAACTATAAAATCTTAATTGTGCAAATTTTTATGGTGGAAAAAAGAAATAACTGAGACTTATTAATTTAATATATTTCATAAATCTTGGCAATGTAAAGGAAATCTGCCACTCAAATGACTGAAACTCAGTTCCTTCAATCATCTACATCTGGAAAACCAACTCAATGTTTTTATCTCATGTACCTTAAAGTACTTTGTGATGTCATCAATGATAAGAACTACATCAAAATCACCTGTTGAAGTTCAATCTGAGCAAAATAGGAAGAAAGTGGCTTTAAAACACCAAATTAATATTTTAGCTTAAGCTTTGGTATAATTTTGTAATTATTTTATTTATTTTACTGTTTGAATTTACAAATAAAAAATATACAATATATATGTACAATGTTGAAAATTATAGATACTAATTAACTTAATTGCCCTGCCTTTATTTGCAAACAATTGTGATTTTTATCCATCCATGTTCTTTACACCCTTGTCCCTCAGTGGGGTCGGGAGGGTTGCTGGTGTCCATCTCCAGCTAATGTTCGGGGCGAGAGGCGGGGTACATCCTGGACAGGTCGCCAGTCTGTCGCAGGGCAACACAGAGACACACAACCATGCACACACACACTCAGGGGCAATTTGGAGAGGCCAATTAACCTGACAGTCATGTTTTTGGACTGTGGGAAGAAACCGGAGTACCCGGAGAAAACCCACCATGCACAGGGAGAACATGCAAACTCCATGCAGAAAGACCAGGGTCAGGAATCGAACCCAGAACCTTCTTGCTGTAAGGCAACAGCTCTACCAACTGCGCCACTGTGCAGCCACTGATTAGTTTTTAGTGTTCTATAAAAAAGTTCCATCCATCTGCACGTTCATCCATCCATCCATTCATTCATTCATCCATTCATCCATTCATTAATTCATCCATTCATTCATTCATCTATTCATTCATTAGAAAGATGCACATGCTCTTGTCAGTTAGGCTCTTTGTCGCTCCTCTTGGCATCCGTTCTTGCTTTGCTCTCACATTCATCCTCTTCTTCCTTCCTGTCCAAATCTTTCAACTGTATTTCTGTTTATGACTATATATAAATATGTATATATATATCCATCGCTCTCCTTCCAGTCTTAATGCACAAGATGGCAGTTTGCAAGTAGATGGCAGACGAATGTTCATTATTTAAAAAGCAGAATGACTGTAAACTCTGCCAGCACTTGGAGAAAGTGCTGCCTACAGTGACTCCAGATGGAGTTTAGAAAGTTTTCTTCCCATCCCCTCAACTGTAATGGCGGTGATGAAGAGGCCTACTAAAATATTTGGCAGAGAAGATGTGTGGATTACTTTTGCTGCCTTTGTTGTGTTCGGTTTGACTCGTGCTTCAAGTTAAGATAGTAATTAAGCAAAAATGTGTTGAGTTTTATTATGTTTGGAAAAAACATCGCTGGGAAAGAAAAAATGCATCATGAAATTTTGGTTTGGCTGGAAGAGTTTTGATGTTTCCCTTGGCCTCTGGTTTTTGTTTGACCTCTTTGTCCATCTTAGTTTGGAACGTCATGGAAACCTCTGAAGCAGCCGAGCTGAATGAAGGAGGAAGTCTGCTCTGCCTTAGATTATTGTTTTCTTGGTTTTCATTTTTTTTTCAAATAAATTTATGATAAAATGCATTGTGAATATGTATTTAGCCACTTTTACACTGATACAAATAAATCCCTGGGGAGCTAACTGCCTTCAGAAGAAACATAATTAGTAATTAGAGTGTGACTCTGCACAACATACCCTAACCCCATTGTGAAACATGGTGGTTGCAGCATCATGCTGTGGGGAAAAGTGTCTTTCATGTTTTTTTTTAACTTCATTTCAGTTTCTCTTCACTTTATTCCCCACTTTGTGTTGCCTTATCACAAATATCCTGATGTGATCAGTTGAAGCCTGTGAATGTAACTTAATAAATTTTAGCAAGGTAAATCCCACCGTCACTTTGTGAGTAGATCTCAATTTTGCAAACTAATTTATTTGATGATCTTAGCCAAGCTGGATTACCAACACTTTGCTGTGTATTGGCTCCATTTGAATTGCAGAAATAGCATTTTAAAGAGATGACACAGTATTATTCCTCTCGTAGAATTAATTGCGTTCCTGTGAACATCTCAGTGGACCGTCGTCTGCCATTTGGGGGCTTCTCTCCAAATATTAGACTACTTAATATGAGTGCCACCAGTATTGTAGGATTGTTGAGTTAATGAAGGAATTTTTTTTGTCAATCATTTCCTTTTGGGAGCTTCTTTAAGCTTTTGTCATTTGCTCAAGTCTTGGAAAAAATAATGTGGTTAGCATTTCAAATTTGTCACAAGAGTGAAAGACTCTGGGGCGACTGACCTCTTTTACTTCATGAATAAAGAAAAAAGGTTAAGCAGAGAAAGAGTGTACTCTTATTGTTATTGTAAAATTTCCATGTAAAATGTCTTTCAAAATGGATTTATTATAAGATGGGCTGAATCGTCACAATTAAACCAAGTCATATCATATTCCCAGTCTAAAGTCTGCTTTACAAATGGAAACACATCAGTATAAAATGTTCAGCTCCGAACCTGATTGGATTGTAGCCAACACTGAGGTCCTGCAGAGTTGGACTCATTTATTTATTCCATTCAGTGTTGAAGCCAGTTGTAGTTGTTACGAGATACGTCTGTTAGGAAACTGTAGAAAAGCTGTCTAATATAAGAAGCTGTTATTTATGCCATTGTCGCTAAAGTATTTGACAGTTTAATTATCTGCAGTGTTTTCTTGACGTTGCACTGCGGCCCAGCAGCTCCGCAGTTCATATTTATCATTGAACACAAAGTCTGTCTCAGTTCAGTTTGGAAAAATATGGAATGAGAATGCTAATTTTATAAAACATGTATTTTGCTGGTTACCAGTCTGGCTGTCAGTCAGGTAGCCAGGTAGGAATGGGATGCACATTTTGTGGATTTAAAACCGTAACTTTTTGAAACTTTGGTGTTTTTTGATTTTGTAAATCCCCCACTTATTTCCATTCTGGCTGATTGTTCTCGACACATTTTCATTCTAACTGGGGCTCAAAGTCAGAACTCCTGGAGGCTGTTTTTAGTTGAGGAACTTGAGCCAGCGTAGAGCTACAACTTACATGGTGGTCAATTACATCTGCAGCCTGCCAGAGTGCATTTATACACCAACAACAAATGTTTCTTTTAGATTTTTTTCTTCACTATTTCATTGTTTAGTTTTGTTTTCAGACATTCGGAGAACAGATCTTTGTGTCTTCATACAGAAAAACACCAGTGTTAAGCTGTCACACTGCATTTTATCTCGCCATGTATGTCGGCATATCTTATATGTATTATGTGGGTCTAAATGTGAATAAATCAAGCATGTTTTGTGAAAGCTTAAATCCTTTCAGTGAAACGTTGAGGCTATAAAGAAAGAAAGAGTGTGTGAAAAACGATTGCAGCACCTTAGGAGTCAAAAGAATTTAAAATCAGCCATTCTACTACATAGAAAACGGTCTACAAGTGGAAAACATTCAAAATAACCATCAACATGCAGAAGTCTGGCTTTTCAAACAAGTTTATCCTGAAAGCAGACCACAGCATGCTAAAAGAAGTCTCCAAAAGCCAGAAGTGGAATGATGGCACCTAAAGTATGCAGTTAGATTTGTTTCATAATTATTAAAAAAAAAAAAAAAAAAAAAATCACGTCAAACAAAAACTCTTAGTATGAAAATGTTGGCTCTAAAATCAGAAGGAAACTGCAAAAGTTTAACTTTCATGGGACATTTGCAAGAAGGAAACCTTAAGATGTAGTAAAGTTCGCCAGAGAAATCTTAAAGGCAGGCAAAGAGTTTCTGGAAAAAATATACTTTCTATACACCTGAACATGTTTGGCATAGAAAACATGCAACATTCCAAGAAAACTTACTAATTCAGTTATTTATTTTTAATAAATAACACATTTTTTATGAGATGTCTATTTTTCTTTGCATAACTGTATAACAGTATGAAACGCAAAGAAATTCAGTGCTGGAACCCAGATAGGCTGTTGTGCCTTTCAAAGAATACACACAAACTACGACACAATAAGTTGTCTAACTTTTAAAAACGTTGTCTCAAGGTTTCCTGACCAAATGCCATCTCTTTAGATGTTTGCTTGTTTGGATGCTGAACATGTTCAACCTTGCGTCTCAGGAACAAAAGCAGCCTCTGTTATAGTGCATTAAATGTTGATGGAACAAGTGCAATTTTAATCAGGAGAGTCTGGTTGACTCTTGACTGTAAGGCTTGCTTTATTGATCTGTTCTTTTCTACTTTTTATGCTGCTTTTGTTGTTTATGTTTGCTCTTTTAGATCTTAGAGCAGATTTGTTATTGTTGTGGATCGGTTTGGGCAAAGTAGCTGGTTAGGTTTGGGAAAATATCTGATTTTTATGGCTCCGATGGTCCAGGACAAACATATTAGAACTTTGCCTGTGATTGTAAAGCAGTGTTATCAGTTTTCTGTTTTGTCAATCCAGACAACTGTCTGGATTGCTACTAGTCAGAATGTATTTAATACATGAATAATGAAAAAATATGAAATCCACTCAAATGTTTGGTATTTCAGATAAAACCATCTCAGGAATTGCCTGCAAATAACCCAGTGTCCGATCCAGGAGGTTTATATCCATACTGAAACTTCAGGTTTCCCCTCTGAGACGGAAACAGTCATTATCTGTATAGCCCTAATTGGTCCCTTGTCAGCAAAATAGAGAAATCGTCCAGTGCACCAGGCGTGACAAACACTAATAAGTCTGGGCAATGGGTGTGATACCTTGGAAGGTCATTTGGGCTGCTGTGCACAGCCATGAAGCATTTTGAGTACAAGCCACTGCATCATTATTTTTCCTTATCTGGCTTCTATCTTATATAATAAATTCAAGCTGGTCTTTAGTACGGTGGATGCTGTATCACAGCGTTCTGTTCATCTTCACTTTTACCCAAATCAATTCGCTACAGCTCTGCAAGCATATGCAGCAGTTGTTGGAAGCTTTGCCACAAGCCTTCAGTTATTGCTGTTTCTGGCTACAAGGTGAGCCCTGCAGCACAAAAGTTTTCCCCTGTCCCTCTCCTGCTTACTCTCCACTATTTATGCTGCTTTATCTCTCTGCAGGTGTGCCCGGTACGCCTCAGATCTCTGGCTTTGAAAATCCAGTGCCAGAGGGCGAAAAAGTCACCCTCACCTGCACCAGCACGGGCAGCAAGCCCCCTGCCAAGCTGCGCTGGTACAAAGGAGACGTTGAGGTGCAAGGTGAGTGACAGAGGGAATTAGTTTGCATGCATGCGTGGATGTGTTTATTTGAGATTTTATGAAGTGAGGTAAAATAATGTGTCTTGGTAGCTGATGCACTCTGAGGTTTGGACTCGTGTCCTTGTGGGAGGAAGAGTGAGGTTTTGTCGGATACACAGATGCGGATCCTGCTTGTGTATCTATAATTATGGCCTGAGTGGTTGTGTTTCCAAGTGTGAGACAATGATATGCGTGCAGATATGAGTTTCTTGTGTGTGTAAGCCGTGCTGCGTGTGTGTCGTGTCCTTGCCATATTGCTTTGTGTCTCTGTATGCGACCTAAACCTGTAAATGTTTGTGTCCAAGTGTGAGAGCAGGCTGCCTGTCTGTGTGAGCGTGGAAACACGCTGAGCGGATCTATTCCCCTCTCTTTCCTCTCCTCTGATCCTGTAAATGTGGATTTTTCCAGGGGCTGTGCACGATGCCTGACAGAAGTATTTACCCCTCTTGATCTTTTTCACGTTTATCACATGACAACCAGAGACTTTCGCTGGGACTACATGTGATAGGCCTACCAGAAATTGCAATTAAAACTGAAATGGAAGGGGAAATAATGCATGGGTTTTTAAAAGTGTGGCCTCCACTCAGCCTCATTCACTTGAATACCTCTAAATAACATCAAGTGCAGCCAACTGCCTCCAGAAGTCTGTGAATTATTAAAAAGAGTTCACCTGTGTATAAACTCTAGGAGCTCAGAGGTCTTTTAGAGGATATTAGTGAACAAATAGAGGACCAAGGAACACTGCTGACAGGTCAGGGAGGAAGTTTGAAATGAAATGAAATCTTTATTCATTTCAAACACGTAAAATGTCAGAGAAAAAATAAAATAACCATAATAATAATCAGACAGAAAAACAAAACTTCCATATGCAATCCAAAAAGGAGTAGGAAGAACAAATAAGCTTAATTCTTTCCCCAATTGTCTCAGTTTAATATATCCCACATTATTTACATGTCTAATTTCTACTCATTCTATGTCTATAAAATTTATTTATTAAGCAGTCGACACCATGCTTAGTCTGTACAGTTTTCTGTAAGATATCCATACAGCTACATTCATCTTGAACAAAACAACCAAAAGCAAAATCTTTCCCTCCTCCTGAATACAGGACAACCTGCCACCTCTGGACTCAGGTTGAAAACATCTAGAGGTCAGAGGTTAACCTTCCATCAAAAAATTACCAAGCAGCCAGACATGGTTTGGATATTTTTTTTTTCCTTCCCAAGTTTAGATATTTATATTTAACTGCCAGTATATTGAGAGCAAAGTGGAACTAAAGTCAAATGTATTGTTTGTGTGCAGAAACTTTGGCTATAAATCTGGTTCTGATATTAATGCATAGAGAAACCCAAACTTAAATACATTTGGGAATCTGGGGCAAAACTGAACACAGATGTTTACAGACACTATCAAATCAGACTGAGCTTGAACTTTTTTTGTACAAGGAAGAGATGTGCAACAAAACTAGAGCACTATCAATCCCAACCTTTTCTTATTTTTATATATAAAAAAAAACAACTATAAATCATTTATTTTATTAATTCCACCTTCCAATTATGCTCTACTTTGCATTGCTTCTTCACGTTGATGTTTGTGGTGTTAATAAGTTTCCAAGGCATGTACTGATCCGGTTCTTATTCATGCAGTTGCCATCGCTGAGGCGCTGCAGCATCTCTGTAAACATGAGAATCAGAGCAGGCCGGATGTAAGCGGGGATAGCTACGCAGCGGAAGCTCTTTAGAAAAAGGCAGGGCAGAGGAGAAGTTAAAGGGATGTGGTGGGACAGTCAGACAGAGACAGAGAGAGCTTTGCATGAAGTCACGCTCATTGACTCTCCATTACAGATACGTGGGAGAAATGAGCAGAAAAGAGAATAAAGATAAGAAGGAGGGAGAAAGAGAGGAAGGAAAAAATAAGCTGCTTTTTTTTGTTGCTAAAAGGCAAACAGATTATTGAGTTTGCCATCGGCTGACTGTGACTCAAACTTATGGTAACAGCAGTGGTGGCATCTTTCCAAATTACCACCATGTTTCCTGTAAACCCCTGAATAGTTGTTGCCTTATTACTCAGAGGCTTTCTGCTTTGCTTTAGTGAGCAGACCAAACATGTTGGCAGAGTAAATTCTGCTGCCCTCTCACTGCTTCCTCCATCTGCCTTATGAGGAGCTCTGCTGACCTGCAGCACTGACGGCACTTCGAGAACAGCGCCCTCTTTCTGCCAGCAGACTGCACTTTCCATAAATTATTCTGCTTAGTATTTTGAAACTCCTATACAGTATCGCTTTGTATTGTAATTATTGAAATACAATACAGTAATACAAAAGTATAAAGATGTATTGATGTAAAGATGCTGCAGTTAGGCTTTGTTGTGCAAAAACGCTCATCTTGTCCAGATGCCTTGGCAGTGTTGTTATAATTATGGATTGAAAGGAATCAAAAGAATGAGCTAAAGCCACAAAGAGAAGAAGGAATGGGAGAGCTGCCCGCCTGAGGACAGATTATCTGCTCCTTTTGTTACAGGCAAACTAAAAACAGGAGACAGAGAAAAATGGGAGCAGCATGAAGAGGAATGTGCCTTTTACAGAGGCTGGAAGTTTGCTTAAAGACTCAGTTTACCCAAAATACGGAAAAGAAATGCTTTACCGAAGCTTTAAAGGAATTAACACTTTTTTGTGTCATTAACTGAACCTTGCATTTTTCATATTGCTCTTAACTTAAAGTTCATTTTTCTTTTGGACTGTATCAGCTAACAAAATGATCTGTTATCTTTGAATTACATTTACTTTAGGCTTATCTGCACAGCATAATTCAATACCGCTGCAAAATATATTGGGTTCTTTCTGAAGATGAAAGTAAAAATTGAGTGTTTTGGGGAACATGGAGGGTGTGCAGCATATCCAAGGCCGGGGCATGCATGGGCTGCAGATAACATCCAGAGTTTTTATGTTCACCACCCAAATGTCACATTGTGACCACTGACAGGTGAAGAGAAAACATTAATTGTCTTGTGACAACAGTTTCTGGCATTAGATAAACATTCTGACCTTGAGGGTGATTTGTTGCAAGGCTAGCTGTAAATGTCTGAGGACCTTCAACCATGGCCGGATTGTGAAGGCTCAGACAAATAAGATGTATCATTTCCACACCTGCAGCTCAGATGGGACTTTTCTAGTCTGCAGAAGAAACGGGATGCACTGAAGTGGGTAGGTAGCCAGAGAGAACTGCCAGTTTTTTTTTGTTGTTTTTTTTTTTTTTGTCTTTTAAGGTTTTTTTTTTTGTTGTTTATTTGTTTGTTTGCTTTTTTTTTTTTCTTCGACCATGACCAGTGACCAGCTGGAAACTGAAATATTCAATATTTTTCTGATTAGTGAACTCAAACAAGATTTACTCAGGAAACTATTACAGTCAGGCAGACTGAAATGTAGCTACTTTCAAGATGAGAATTTAAAAATGAAATCAGATGTATCAAAAAATATTTCAGATGGTATCACTTTTTGTCTCTGATACATCAAGATGCAATTTATGTATTTATGCTAACAGACAGTGGTGGAGAAAGTACTCAAT